GCTGATTGTGCAAAAAAGCCAAAGATCGTTTCAATCCCTTCAAATCTTTGCTGGCAGTACTGCCCGATGCCGGGGGCATGTTCAGCAGACGCTCATGGATAACGCATCCGGTAGCAACGAATACAGTTAGCTACAAAGCCTTCGTTAAAGAGAACATTCATAAATATGAAAGAACGGCACGAAGTATGTGCTAAGGTACTTGCTTCGTTCAAATGCCTTCGAAATTGGACGGCACTGACTTTAAAGTTAACTCAAACCTCGCCCCCCCCCCAGTCAACCGTCAGAGCAGAGGCAAGAATTTCGTGTGCCAACTAGACGTGTGCCTCGCGTTAGCCGCTGCTGGTGGAGCGGATCGATAAGTGCGCGCTGGCGTCGTTCGGCCCAATAGAACGCAGACGAGTGCGTTCTAGTTGAGCTGTGCGGTCGTGACCGCCTTGAGAGTCAAAAGGCGAAGACTCATTCCGGTAGCAGTCGTTTGCACTAGCCAACATCTCTCGCTCTCTTTCATTATGACTGTGACGAGAGTTTGCGAAGTCGCCATTCGGCGGAGTCCACCGCATTTTCAAGCAGGATTAAGAATGTCGTTCTATTCGCCGAATGAGCTTTTCTAAATATCTACGCGAGGGAGAAAGAGACTGGGAGAGGGGTAGTAAAAGGACGGAGATGAGATGGAAGAGGAAGTAAAAAGCGGAACCAAAGAAAGAGGCAAGGGAGGAGAGAAAGGAAAGAGAAGAGGCAGGAGACGGAAAATAGAGGGTGCAAAAGCGTTGGCGACGAGGAGAGAGAACGTCGAGTGGGATGGAAAAAGAGGAGGTAGGCGAGTTAGTAAAAAGACGACAGGAACAGTAAGCGGAGAACGAGCCAAGCGGATGAGTAAGATATTAATATGCGGAGAAGGAAAATCGTGGGGTTAAGAATGGGACGAGAGCTAAAAAAACACAAAACAGGAGACGGTGGCGGAGAAAGAACTAACGGACGGCTGAAAATACAGAAGTGCACTGCGAATCTACGTTTATACACACTTGGACAACAGTTATGTGCTTACGTCAGTGTGCAGAGTTGCTAGGATATTTTAGCTCCAGAATCGCCATTTCATTCAACCTTCCGCCACCAATAGGCTAGCTGTTGTTCCTTCCAGCATGCGTCAGTTGGTTTTTATGGCGTGGCTAAACTAATTGGAAAGATGAATAACTGTGCAACCCGCGACGCCTGAACGACTGATAATTTTGTCTCACAGATGGACAGATAAAACTTGTAAAAGTCCATTTACAAAATACTATTGAATCATGTATCATATTGTTCTTGTTAATGTGAAATTATAGGAGTAGTGGTCGACTGTTTACTATGACCTAATATAGTTCTATATATGCTTAATATGGCCTTAATATAGACATACGCACGACTACTATGCAGAGTTTTATCGAAGGGTATATTTGCATTAGCTTTATAAGGGATATTTACTGTCAGGTGACATAGCTGATGAAAACGAGAAAGGGAGGAAAAAAAGAATATCATTATCTGTTCTATGTTTATCAATGATGCTATCTTTTATAAATTTGATTATTTTTAGTGCAATCTTCCGGTATTTTTCAATCGGCTGTCATCATCAGAGCCCTTTTGGACCAAATTCTATGTCAAATAATTGACTTGAAAAATGTCCTATCTTATTCAAATATAAATGTGTATCGTAATTTGAAAAGAATTTCTTAGTTTTTATTTTAAACTCGATTAGGGTTCGACTTTTCCGGATATAACCTGGAAGAGAATTCCAGATAGTCGCATATCTTATGGAGTAGAAATTTGACCGTTGGGACTTTGTGAATTTGGGAATCCTTATAATATCCTCGCTATTTCTGGTGTTTCTAGGGGCGTTTTGGTTGGTAAGTAAATTCATTTTGAGAATATCTTGGTCGTGGGTGACCTTGAATAGGATGTTTAGATCATTTTGAAGTCTTCTGATCCAGAGTGGTCGAAGACCGTATTTATGATATAGTTCTAAGTCTGAACCCTGGATTCCATCGCTTCTAGACAAAGATCTAGTAAAACGTCTCTGAATGCCTTCTAGTTTCTTTCAACCGTCTGACGGCATTAGGCCGAAGAAAATTCAACAGTAATCTAGGAGAGGTAAAACATACATTTTGAAGAGTTGTATTCTTAGTGCATTTAAGGTGAAATTGTTACATATGAATCCACACAGGCGAGTGGCTTTCGGTGATATTTGTTGGACGTGGGGAGATAAATCAAGGGTATTTGTATAGCTGAGACCTAAATCTTTTACCGATTGGGCCTCTGTTATTTCATTATCCTCGAATATTATGGGGGGAAGTTTTTGTGGGCCAAATATCAGGAGATGGCATTTTTCGGGTGAAAAGGGCATCTGCCATTGACTACTCCATTCGCTGAGTTTTCTGAGATCAGTTTCA